GCCGCCCTCAGACATTCTCGCCCTCGTAGAGCCATCTGCTCGCAATTTCACTGGCAAGGTGGTGTGGTGGTGAGGGAGGCTGGACCCACATGCCCAACTGTGTGGTTTGAGTCCTGGACTCCACAGGAGTGTGCATGTGTGCCCAAAATCCTACGAGGAGAATGGAGGAGAAGGGATTGCAGCATGGCCATCCCCAAGTGGAGGGTGCTTCCTCTCTCTCTCTCTCTCTCCAGTGAGCACATGTACCACTGGCAAATTAAAAAAAAGAAGTACAAGGCATCTGGCAGGTCTTCAATGACTGACCTTCTGTTCTGTTCCACATTGCTCTGGGGTGACCCCAGTGAGGAGACCCCAGGGGCACCCGGTCACCACCCTGTGGCTTACCTGCAGAGCTGGCCTCCAAGGCTGGTGCTGACCATCGTGCTCGGCCCCAGGCCCTGTCCTTTATGCTGACTGGGGCTGCCTTGTGCCTCTCCAGGCCTCCCCCTGTCTCCCCCTGCTTTGGGCAGAGGTGACTGGAGTCCACTTCCCTCACTGCCCTGCTGCCTGTGAACCTGGCCTCCCTGCCATGCCCTGCTGTCCCCTCCAGCCTGGTGGAGACTGACGTGGAAGCTATTTCTCAGAGGAGTAGAAGAGACCCGCGGGGTGAGGTGGGGCAGGCCAGGTAAGGAGGAGGGGTGCAGGGAATCCAGTCCAGCAGGATAATCAGCAAGGCAGGCTTCCCGTGACAGGCCATCTCCTGAAACAGCTCTGAGCCGCGGCTCGGCATCCACAACGTACTTCCCCGGGCAGGCACCGTGGCTCACCAGGACCCTGCGACTCGGCTGGGGCCAGTTCAGTTCCTGCTTCAAACTACTCCAGCCTCGCGGAGTGAAGAGGTATCAGGGCCTTTCGGGGCCTCTGCCTCCTGAACTGGCGTCTTTTTCATACGGGGAACGTGGAGAGTGAGAAGTACGGTCAGCTGGGCAGTACCACCGCTACTGACCACGGCGTCTGCACTGCAGGCATGGCCGTCCCGATTGCCCGGGCCACTGACTGTCCAGAGCAGTGAGTGAGCCGAGGTGCGAGGCCAGGCACAATACGGTGAGGTTCCAGGGCTGGGGAGAGAACGGAGCGCATCGCTGAGGTCTCTGCCGCCAGGGGCTCTGCCAAGGCTTTCCACAGCGTGTGTTGGCTAACCCCCCATTCTTTGATGAATCCACTACAGGTGACAGACTGGCTCACGATGGTTAAGCGCAGCTCACAGGTGATGGAGCTGAGCCAGGGCTGAGCCCACCTGTCCTGGCCCAGAGCCTGCTCTGGAGACCACAACACGACAAGCTTCTCAAAAGCCTCCTGTGGGGACAAACCTGGTCACCTGCAGAGGACAAGGAGTCAGGAGGACACCAGACCTCTGCAAAGCAGCCGTGCAGGCTGAAAGACAATGGAACGACCCCTGGGAGGGAAAAGCATTCCTGACCCACCGGCCACCTGCTGCAAGTGACGCATTTGGTGCCAAGAAGACACTGAGACAGAGAGCATCCTTCTCATGAGGCCCTTCTCTGGAGTGATGATGACTGTGTCTAAGCAAGGGAGGAAAGGAAGAAAGACTGCAGACGGTCCCGAGGAGTCTAAGAAGGAATGGAGCCAACAGGTGATCTGAGAGGGTGCACATGTGGGAAGCCGGCCTGAGAGATGCCGTAGGGGGGAAGCCGGCCAGCACCCACAGACTTCTGCATGAGAAGAGCCGTGCAGCCTGTGTACCCCAGTCAGAGTGAATAGTCACTAGGCTTCAGTGAGACGCCGAGCATGTGTTCAACAAAAGGCAAAACTCTATTGGAGAGAGGGGGGATCGGAGAACATTAATACTTATGGGCAGTTGAGAGAAATCTGTTTCTTTCCCAATGGGAAGACACAGATGAGCAGATCTGGAACATCAAGAAGAACACGTGTGTCATTATTGGGAAGGATTGTGGTAAGACCAGAGAGAGATACCTACGGAGTAGGAGGGAAAGGCGAGGAGGCGTGGGGCAGGGTGAGAGCAGTGAGCTGCTTTTCATTACGACTTGTCCTATTTGATTTGACACCACGCATCACTTTACAAAGAGAAAACACATGAGAAAACACAGCCTCCCACGTGACCACGCCGATCGCACGCGAAGCCCGCCTGCCTCCACCCTGACGGCAAGGTTTGCTAAGATGCAAAGCAAGCTCATTTAAGAATTAGAAATTCAGGATTCGTTAGTGAGTTGGTTCTATACATCTTAGATTTTGAAAAATTACAGTTTAAGTGAGATTTTAGCTTATGTGTTTTATACTTTTTTTCTTTAGGCCAGAGGGTGAGTGTAGGAGAGAAAGGGAGGGGAGGAAGCAGCCCGGCAGGGCCCAGTCACACCCAGCCCTGTCTCCCTCCTACTCCCACCCCATCAGGCCTGGACATGTGTGCACGCCCCAGAGTTTCTCAAGTGGCTGGGCCAGGACTCGAATCCTGGTCGGCCACGCGGGACCCCGCTTCCTCAGCGTAGCCTTCAGAGCCGTTTGGCAGGGCAGGCCCAGTTCTGAAATTTACACGATCTTTTACCCATTTATCCAAAAGCATCTGAAAACTATAGCTTTTCAGCAACCAGCATGCCTTTCAGTCCTATAGGCAGGTACCCTGAACCATCAAACCACCCTCACCCTCAGAAGGCTGTCTGCCCTTATTAGCCACAGGCAGCCTTCCTGGGGCGGACTTAAAAACACTGATCATTCCTTTGTTCATTCAGCCAGTATTTACTGAACACACACTACGCGCCAGCTGCGAATTCAACATCTAGTTGTACAACCCATGCCTTTTCCACCTTCTATGCATATCCAATTGGAAAGACTCAGCCAGTTTCTGGAATGACTTCTCAGCCCCTCATGGTGGCCCAGGGCCCCCCTGCTACACTGCCTGCAGAGTTGGACCCAGTGCTTCCCCCCAGCACCACGTAGCAGCCCGACTCCTGGGTTCTAGCTCTCTCCCACCATGGGCTCATTCGCTGGAGTGTAAGCTCTTGACGACAGAAAGCAGGCCTTCGTCATTTCTGTCACAGGGTCATGGACTTGACATCACATAGACTCCATGATGACCTTTTTGTTTATAACCACGGTCGGCCACGTGGGAGTCCAGTGGCTTTAACCACCATGCCACCTGCTGGCCCCCACAATTACTTTTTGAATCGACAAACAGTGCATTCATGGTCACTTTCTGAGTGAACAAACAAGTTAACTAGAGAATTCCGATCATGTGTTGTCTCAGTCTCTTCTAATGCCTTAAATCCCCTATGATGTAAGAGCATGGTCATCAAATCAAATCACTTCACCTTTTCTCTAAATTCTTGAAAGCCAGAGTTGTAATATTGTGGAAATTGAAGAACAGCGCAATAAAGGTGACCCATCCTTGTCACTTCCAAAACAACATAATTCCTTTGGAAAGTTCTAATCATTGGTCAAGGTCGAGGCTCGGGTCAAGGACAGGGTTCAGGTCAAGGTCGAGGTCTAGGTGAGGAAGGCCTGGGGCTAGGCCACACCTCGTTGCAGATATGGACATAACTACACATAGACAATATAGATGCACATGCCCTGAGTTAATGCTGCTTACCTCGAATCTTTATCAACTATTTACAACCATGTCATAATAAAAACCCCAAACTACCCCCCCAATTTTGCTAAAATGTAATCTCTTGGAGACTTTGAAGTGAAAGACAGACATGACGGTAACCCTGCCATTCTACGGACACGGGTCTGACCCATCAGGCCCGCCTGTGTGCCACAACTGCACCTGTCAGGACCCCTCCAAGTGGGCCGTAAGTCAGGCCACCTGTTAGCAGGGCACCTACTCTGACGTCTCCTCTCCGTTTTCTAACCCTGACGGAAACTTGCATGTAAGCAGTACTTGAAATTCACAGAGCATCTTAGAGCCACCCTGTGTAGCTTGGCCCTTCGGGCGTCCCTCATTGCAGAGAGCAGCTGGGGTCACTCCTCCACCCTTCGCAGGCTGGCAAGGCCCCGGGTCTCCGCCCCAGCCCAGCTCCTCTGCTCTGCCTTCTGTACCCAAGGCAGCGCCTGTGCCCACCAGGAGGTGCCCCGAGGAGCGCTCTCTGCTCTGGGCGTCATCTTCAGCGTCTCCTGCGCATCTTCATTTTTAAATTATTTGGCCTC